TATATAATTTATATATTTATTACCGTGACGACCGACGTATTTACAATACATTTGGGTGAATACAAAAAATAAAAAAAAACAACAAATACAGACATTCTGCACGCGACTTTCTTATAAAAGACCGCTTTCGAGAACTGTGTGTGTTTGTCGGGTTGCTCAAGTGAAATTGATCGATACCCGCGTGCGCGGTATTCCACGACCAGACATCTCCGTCACAGCGGCTCGAAGCGCGCGTAATAAGTGGGTCTCCGTGTGTACCCACCTATACCTTATTATACCTGTCTACCTGACTGCCTATATTATATAGTGAAAGTATAAACCCACGGTGCCAAACCTTCTTCATTCATCGATATATCGGTCTTAGCTGAGTCGGTAATGGTCACCGGCGCCGCGTCGGTTTTAATTACCATCATCTCACCGAGATATATACTTATACGTTATAATAATAAAGTCTTCATTGTTGTTATTTTTAGCGGTATTATAATCATCATTTTCGTCACTTGTCACCAATACGTGACAATTATACACACCTTACCCAACTTATTACATTCTGTATTGGACCACGACCCGACCGCGGTTTATATCATTTTTTATAGAGAATCTACACGTCGTTTTATGACTGCATGTGTGTGATYGATCAGCTCACAAGCATTTAAAAAAAAATACATAATGATAATATTATCTTTAACGCTATTTATAAGGACTGATGAATATTTTGAAAAAATAACAATATAAAATATACATATAACGGCAACATAATTAAATAATAAAAAACATTATACAATAGCATTTGTTTGTTTTTAAAATAATATTATATAGATCAAGATATAAAGCACAACTTCTTATAACAGCTTAAAATTCATCATTGAGCAGAATTTAATTAATATAAAATCATACCCAATACTAATTGATCACAATTACTMTTTTGGTTTGAACGTCACATTATACAATTTTAAGACTTTTATAAATGTTTAACACATAAGTTTAGTAAAATTACAGTTTTTCACCATTTGTTTACCATTTTTAAGAAGTTTTAATAATATTATGTTAATATATGACCTCTTCTTAATAGTCAATGGAGTATATAATATAATACGTATAAGTGACAGTAATATAGTGTTTCAAAAGATTTTTAAAATATTCTACTTACACATGAGATACGACAAGCAATTTTGTTTGTGTTATTTTGCAGTAAAACTATAACGGTTACAGGGGGGTCAAGGTCAGTATTAGGTATAGTATATCATCAGTATAACTCATTGATATTTGTTAGATACAAACAATTGAATAACAGAAGCATGGAAATATAAAGGTGCACATGAATATAATTATTTAAAAAAATATTGGATGCATTATAGATAGCTATTATTATAATTGTGTTTTTCTAAATTAATTAGAAAAATCTATTAAAAATAATATTTGAAGTTTTGATGAGTGGAGTAGTAGGTAAATCAAAAGTTTGTGGGGTATCTCTGTCAATTTTCTAGTGCCACAACTCGTCTTAACTAAAAATACTTATAAGTTATAACTCATATACTCTACTCGTCCAAAATTTTATTTTTATATACCAAGTACTTAATAAGAAAAACATTTTGTTTTGGAATATGAAATTAAAAACTTAAAACGACTAAAAAATATGTTCTTCTTTAAAGGTAAATAGWTTTTTAAATAATGAGTGTACTTCGATAAATAAAGAATCACCTAKTACACATGACCTAAAGTAAAATAAGTCTTATTTATTATTATATAAATTTATGTTATTAGCCAACATTAATTACGACATMTATAACCGAAGATTATATTATAAAATAGTTCAAGGTGAATAATAACCATCTTATTTAGTAAGTAAAATTAATAGTATTAGATGGTAAATAGATTTAATCTTTATTTTATACATAATAGCTTAAACGGATTTAAGGTTGTAACTATTGAAAATATATGAAATGCATGATATGCACATTTTTTTAAATTTTGAAAACATCGATCTGCAGATAAAATAACACTTAAGCTTTGGTACACAGATGAGAATCGWTAAAAACTGGAAGTTAAGTCGAAATAATTCTTTTTTTAAATTGTATTAAAATTTAATATTTGATTTTAAATATAATTACCTAGTAAAATAAGTAAATATAAGATACTTTAAGTATATAAATTTAACCGTCAATACCAAAAAAGTTAGGTTAATTGAAAAAAAATCCATGCTACTCACTTTTTTGTGACTCCAAAGTGCGTTTACACTTGGCTTTCCCCGTCGRAAGTCTGATTGATCAATGACATCATCGTGAATTAGAGAAGCAGAATGGATCATTTCTGCAATCATAGCTACTTCTCTTTGTTTTTTGTCCAAACCACTGTAACCATAAGAATAGTATGAGTACTATAATATACAAATGTTTACTAGTAAATTTATTAACTTAGTTTAACTAAGTCTTAATTCATCAATAAAAATTAATTTTCTACCTTTTTTCTAACTTTTATTTATTTATATATTTAAGTGATTTACAATCTAAACAACATTATGTACAATGGGCAAATTTGATAATTAATATAATATGAAATAACAGAAATTAGCATTTAGGGGCAGGCACTCAGCAGTACCACCCGACCGAGAACATTTTAGATGTCGWGGGTTTTTTGACGAGATGTCWCTAGGCCACTGCTTTTTTAGTCTTCTGCKTAAAAATTAATTTAAAATTAAAATTTTCAAAAAAAGTAAAACCATTATAATTAGTAACGTGACATTTATATGTATATAATTAATAATGATTAGATAYTTAGGTTATCTCATAAAATACATAATATATTTTATTTCATTTGTGGATATAATGAGATCAAATACTAAATCACAATACGCGATACTAGCGGCCAAAACACAAGACACTATTTCACCTCATAAAAACCAAGTATAGTTGCCTATAAGCACGGCGGTTTTGTAGATATGAATTGCCCAACTCATACACACAATAAATATTGGCTAGGCAACCTTTTTTATCATTGAGTGCATGTATTGTCATCTCTACTTTATAGTATATTAGTAGATGCATACACTATAATAGCATTTTTAAAAGAATATGAATTGTTGTTATACAAATGGTTTGCACGAGTATTTTGTATTATAAAATTTAAATGTTTTAGAGAACATATTAATTGAGTAAATGAAACATTTTTTTTTATTTAAATTTTGGACACAAAAATCTGCAGGTACATAAGACTTGGACAAAAATGTATATTCTTAAGACATCTAGGTTACATGAACTATAACCAGTTTGGATATCCTTGATATCTTCCTGCGCAAATATATGTCAACCAGTTGTACAGTTCTATTCGTACAAATATACTTTGATCTACATTAGTTCACATTTTCACTATCGTGGCTAATAATAATTTGAGGTATCATTTTCATCATTGTTAATAAAATAAAATATTCCGACTTACTTATTGTTCATGTGGTAATTTATGGCATGAGCCATCAGGATAGCCACCATAGGCCTAAGGGCTTTTCCTTGTCCATCGAAATAATATGTAGCTATCGTCCGTAGCTCATCTTGGTTAGTGTTCAGTTCGAGTTCCTACATAATAAATCACTAGAATTATTATAAAAATTAATATTTATTAATTAATATTATTACGAAAATATCATCACATTAAATAAAGATAATTGTAGGTAAGTATGTAAAATGTATTTTTATACATATATAATATAAATATATGTATAGGTAATATTAAATAAACAACGACGACTAATTCCATTAAGTATATTATTTAACATGGAATGTGAGGAATTGTTAATGGTTAAAACTATAAATAAAAACCAAAATAAG